CAGTGAATGTTTGTTCAGTCAGCTTAGATCACGTGCAGCTTTCCCTTTCCTGGTCTGAGACATAATCAGGCCAAGAGATCACCGCTCACAAATATCAAGTTTCCATCCAGCCTGTTGTCCCTGAGAAGCTCCAGTATGATAAGAATCGCTGCACCTGCCCTCCGAGAGTCGTTTTCCACTGTACAGTGTCTCAAACTCTCTCTCCACTCTTTGAGTGTTATGTGCGTTCACACTGACTGGTATGGCAAAATACAGCGCGCTACGAGTACACACGGTACACTCATAACGTTACAAGGTTGAGTGCGGAACGCTGGACACTGGTCACACTGATGGTCCAGGATCTGGGCTGTACCAGGTTATTGTTTTAAATGGATGAGCTTACACACACTTTCAGCAGGATGATGTTCACAAGAGCTGTACATGTGGCAGTTTAGCGTTTCGAGCTGCTAATGGAGCTTTACTATTGAATCAATGTCTCGATGGAGAGCTGCAGAGCTGCCATTAACTATGATTGGACGTGGCTTCGGTTTTCATGCTCTTCTGATAATGCATCGTTCTCTATTCCTGCGCTTCAGACTCAGTCCTCTGTCACTGTTTATGAACCTCGTCTTGTCTCCTGTACTGTCAACAGGAAGTCAGACGCTCCCGTGTGCTCCGCTCATCACAGTAATCTTGTAATCTTCATGTGTGCACACGGAGACGACAATGTGGTTCTCACAGCGGGAACAAAACCACCTGATCCGAGGCGAAGCTGCTTTGTGTCGCTGTGAATACAAAGTGTGACGCTCTGCGGTGCATTTCACCATGTCGGCCTGAGTACTGACGGATGGGCCCCCGGACACGAGGCAGGTGTCAGGTGGTGAAAACGTGTCAAAGATACACTGAGCCACAGAGTAATGACCAGGTCCCCCACAGGACTCCTAGTGCCTCATGCAGACTACACGACTTCCAGCGTCGGCCGATGGCCGTGCCGTTCACACTACACAACTTGCCGTCTTGTGACGGGAGTCTTGAAGTCGTTGTGGCGTTCACACTACCTGACTGATCGGTGACAGGAGGTCACACACTACATGAGCTGACAGCGGCTCTGTCACCTGATGCTGGTCTCCAGACCACGTTTTGTGGTAATTTTTATTAGAAAGAATGGATCAGCACACGCAGGTTGGAGGGATCGTCTGAGATACAGAGAGCTGGAGGGGAGTAAAAAGTGTTTTGTAGTGAAAAAGTAGCTGCCTGCTCTCATTGGCTGGATGTGGATGTCGAGTCGACCGACTCCTCCAGATATTTGGCGTGCTCAACGCGTGTCCAACACTTTGGTTTATGACTAAATACCTGCAGAACTGATGACATTCCCATCAGCCTGAGTGTGTTTTTCCTTCTAATTTAGCATGCTAACACGCTAAATTAAAATGGTGAACATGATAAACCGTAAACCTGCTAAACATCAGCAGGTTAGCACGTGGTACTGATGTCTGTGTACGTTGTAGGATTACAGATGGCCGTGTGAGAATTAAAATACTGTGTATTTGACAATATAACTACAGCATTTCCACTAAATTTGGGTTTAATTACATTGACTTTGGCTCATATGAGGTCTCCATGTTTGTTTGGTTTTCAGGCATTTGGATATATTGGAGTTTCATGTGTAACGTCAACAACTGACTAAGGTTAAGCCAGCGTTGTGATTTAATATAGGTTATATGGAAGTAATGTAGGTATAGAAGAGAAAATATGCATCTTCACCACCACTAATTTGAATTCGCACTACGTGACTGAACATATTTATGTCCCCACAGCACGAGGACCTGTGAGTCCACGTGCACAGATACACACCCTGACTCAGCTACATCTCACATACACACACATGCCCGGCTGCACTGACAGAGAAGAGCATGATAAAAACGTGATGACCTCGTTCTGAAGCAGTCACGCGCTCGCTGCCTGCACACAAACACACTGGAGATCTACATAAACACCACAACAGAGAGCAGTGATTAGTTAACTTAACGCCAAAGTCCAAGACGCTTCAGTGTGAAAATGTTCCTGCAGACAGATGTTAGTGGAAATAATAAACATGGTAGTCAACGGCAAGAGACAACTAATGTTTTTACTCTGTTTGAATTGTGCCCTGAACTACACACACATTGTTCATCAATTTAAAATCCGGGTGCAGTGCCAGTTCACAGGGGCCCTCCCTGCGCTTTTTGGATAGAGTGCTTGTTCAAAATGTGCGTCTCACTGTGGTTTCACCTGCAGCGTTTACACAGAAACAACACCACAATGGCGGAGATACTGCTACAGCGCTTCCTTGGAACTCCATTACTCTCTTACAACTCCGTTTCAACACATTCGTTTCAAACGAAAATCAAACCCGCGTGATGAGAGACCGTTCTAATCTCAGGGTGTCCAACACCAACGCTTTCAGAAAAAGTGACCCCCTGGTACCGGGGGCATCTGTTTTTAACAGGCTAGTATCTTCAACCAAGTCCAGTTGCCCTTGATTTGAACCTTCATTGGATCTCCAGACTGCATGAAACATGGCCGATACTAGCTGACATGAAAGAACAATTACAACTTGCCGAGCTGTAACACATTCCTGAAGACCTCTCTACAGTTTTCCCAGGTCCATGGTCCTCAGGTCCGTGCGACTGGTTGTTTCCGGTTTGCAACTTCTACTTCTTGTTTATTACTGCCATGCGAGCTGCCAAAGCTTTCTGTAGCCGAGTTTATTTCCTCCAAACCAATTGAAATGCACCTAATTCACATTATTATATTTGTTTGCTTAAAATTCACTTGACCACTAAACGGAAACACAGCTAAGGATGATCATCATCACAGCCAACAGCTTTGAAGTTCCTCCGTCAAACTCACAGCATTTTGTAAAGGAAACAATTTTTTCAATCTGCGTGAACAAAACTCTGAGCTCGCTCTTCACGCTTCATCACATCAGTATACATGAAGTACACAACAAACCCAACATCCTGTACATTTTCATACATACAGGTACTTGAAACAAGTGTCTGTGAAAGAAACACACGGAGCTACAGAAAGAAAGAGGTATTTTCTTTTTCCCAGCAGAACATTGCTCCTGGGTGGGAGTTTTGTACGTTTATCGGCGACAAAAAGAGTTAATTTCGGTATCAGTGCAGCAGTGAGGCTCACTGATGGTTTATAATAGTTTCTGGGCAACAGTGGAGCTCTGTGGCTCAGAGGAAGAGGAGTCATCAGGCTGTGAGACACACCGGAACTGTTAGTGGATCCAGTCACTGAACAAGAGATTAATTAGGACACATGTATCTCAAATAAATTACATATGTGTATTTTTAGTCATTATATCCATTCAGCTGCTGGAAATCTGGTGTAGGTGTATTTTTTTGATGCAGGATTATGTTTTAACGATCCAGACAGACACTGAGGATCCAGCTGACTCATTTATACAGATGTCATGGCAACAGAAGCACAAAGATGCTGGCGGTAATGACGCACCCAGCTTTGTCTGTGACAGCCATCAGGTGTGAGACCAAGGTTTAAGATTCACTCTGGAGCTACGACTGGCTCAGCAAGGATCCCGAATCCTGAAGTGTATTGTAATCATTATTTATTTAAAGCTATATTACCCTGTAGGCCTGCATCCATCTGCTGATGAAGATTGTGTGATATGAGCGAAAGCTCCAGAACAGCTACTTAATGCACCCCTGTTTTGGCAGCTCCTTTCCTGTCGTGTTTTTTCCCCTTTCCTGTTAAAGCAGAATCAAACTGAGCAAAAGGAAGAAAACATTTCACTGCAGAGGAAAAACTGTATTTGCAGTGACACAGTAAGTCGAGGTTTAAACATATATGTTTTATACCACGCTATATAATATCATAACTCTCAACTGGTGTTACTATAAAACTATAAAGCTAACATGATACCTGGGCAATGAAAGTTAATGTACTTTCTGCTGTCAGATATGAAATGAGTTCATAAGGGTGTTTGAATTTATTTGTTGTCATGCTGAAAACCTGCATAATTGTATTCCTGTCCAGGTTGAACAGCCTTTAAAGAGGTCATATTCTGCTTTTCCTCTCTTTTATTGAGTTATAAACCTTTTTTGTGCATGTAACAGGTTTGCAAAGTGAAAAAGTCCAAAGTCCAGCCCAAAGAGAGTTCCCATCTCCCACAGAAAACCCTGCTCTGAACTGAACACAGCTGGATCGTTGTCCAGCCTTTACTTCCGTAACCTGTCTGCATCACCATGTAACACGGGTCATAATGCTCGCCTGGCGGCTAGAGTGACACGCCCTCAATATCAGTGGTGTAGAAACACGCTGAGCTGCAGCACACAGTGACGGGACTCGGACTCGAACCAAAGCCACGTTTACTGGCTGAAGCGGCTTTGTTTTGGACCACATTACCTTGTTTGTCAGGACCCGCCCTACTCTGCCTCTGATTGGCTAGTAGTCCTTACCTAGATACTGTGCATGTGCAACTCCCAACAAAGATCTAATAAAAGAGAGATGCTTCACTCTGTAGCTAAAACAGAGCGTTCCACACACAGGATGAAACGAGGAATATATGGTGTTTTTTGAACATTAAACCATGTAAACCTGTTCTGGTCCAACCCCTAAATAAAATTATGAACCTGAAAATGAGCATAGTATGACCACTTTAAGAGACTAATGTTGACTTCCTTCCTGAATCAAATGTGAAAAAAGAATCAGGAGGTTTTTTGTGGCTTTGCTCATAAAGAAACCACAATGGCAAATCATATAATAAAATAAAAATCTTATAGCTGCAGGGCGTACTCATATTTAATGACCCGTGGATAATTACTGTTTGATTGTTTTCTATCCAGGACCCAGAGGCCGATTTCTTAAATTAATCAAATGTGTTTTGTTGGGTTGAAAACTTTGTCTGGTGTGAAACATGCAGTCGCCCACAGATCGCACTCTGCTCAGGATTCTGCATTATTAATGATGATGCAGGTTCAGCAGGTTCACACAGTTTCCAGTCACGGCGGCTGAGATGGTGAATGGACATTTGTTATCTAACCAGCGTTTTCTGTAGGATGTTAACTAGAGGGACATCAATGAGGAGGTTAATCTCCCGGTTGTGAACCATATCCTGGTTGTGATAATATCTGGCATATGATGTTAACCGGGTCATGCATGTCCCTGTTTACGTGATCATAACAGATGTTTCTTAATTTCTCACCATCTCAGTCAGAACGAAGAAACCAGGATCAGCCACAGTATCCAGATTTCTAACCTGACATTCACTTATTGGTTTGGTTCCAGTTTCCTTTTTTACTCCAATGTTATAAAAAGACAGCTAAAGCTATAAAGGCTGTTCTTATATTTCTACTCTGAGTAAAGACTTAAAGGTGCAGTGTGTAAGATTTGGCAAGAATTACCAGTATGAAACAGAATGTGAAGTAGTCACAGCTCTGACGTCTTGTCAAAGATGTTTATGTGTTGTGTTGCAGAGATATCTACTGAACACCAGGTCTCTCATACCAAAACCTTGGAGTTGCACATTGTACCTTTAAAGACCTTGTAAAAGGTCAGAATCGGCAGCTTTAATGCAGTTATTTCTAAATGTTCTATACGATGAGTCATTCATAATAAGTTCTAAGTAGAACTGCGGCTTCAGAGTCTTTTACTGTTTTAACTTCAACCAGCCTCACTCTAAAATAAATGAATGAGTGAATGAATGAGCTGGATGTGTCTGAAACCGCTCCGTCTGAAGCCTTTCTGCTGAGTGACTTTCATGCAATCTGTCGGCCAGAGTGTGTGTGGGCGGCGGGTGGATGTGTTCCTGATCATATTAACCGGCAGTGAATGAAGACGACAAAGGTTCCCTGCAGTTACTAGCTTTCCGATTGTAAAGCAGAGCACGTATCCAGGCAACGAGGGCGAAGAAAATGAGCTACAGCTGATGTAACGAACACACATACAGGTATACACAAGCTGACACCTGGATCAGGCTGACCTACTTTCCATCTCTAACAGGACATGATGGAGGACGTCTCCGCTCGTGATCCTGAATCACAGCTGTTAATTATGTAACCGAGCCCACGTACTCCCGCTGAAGGGAAACTAGGCGACTGTCAGAAACCCACGTCCTGCCTGCTGAATACAAACTGCACTGGACAACCTTCAACTTCAGCGTGCAGTCACAGAGTATAATCACTGAGATTTTACTGGCAGCAGTGGTCAGAGTCGCTGTGCTCCTTCAGCAGCTACACGGATTTTAAACCTCCTCTCCTAAAGCTCTTTATGCCGAATAGCTGTTGGCATCGAACTCCTCACTCTCTCCTCCCCGTCTGAACTAGCTGCCAAGGTAGTTGGTATCTGTAAGTATTGTATTTGCTAGAAATGTCTCAAAGCCACAGGCTCCCTGAATTTTTGGGGAATGCTTTAATCTCCCAGGCCCTCTGAACTAACCACCAGCTCCATGTATTTTTGAAAACCTAGGCCCAACCTTGATGTACATGCTAAGGGAGGGAAAGCTCGCAAACATTTTGAGCCTTTATGCACCATTTTCATAAGGCCGCATTTCTGCAGACTTTGCCTAAGGGAACTGCCCACAGTTCACAGCGTTGTGACGTGAAACACGGGGGTTTCCAGAGGCCTGGACTACGAGGGGTGTTTAACCTATTCAGATTTAACTCGGGGTTTTCAAGCAAACTCAGGGTTGACAAACTCTGCCTGACTACGCCGGCGTTAAACAGCACTATGAAGGTGAAGAAGATGTCACCTGTGTTTACTGAATTGGAGTTGGTCCGCGTTCACTTACCTGAAGAATGCACGGTGACTGTGTCAGGATCGAGTCAGGATGTGAGGGGTGTATTGAAACGTTCTAAAAATCGAACACCGTGGCGACAAACAAATCCAGGTTAAGCTTGTTGGCAATCTGTAATTATCTTCACAGTATTCTTGTTGCAATTCGCTGTTTAGGATTTTATGGGCTCTTCTTTTATATGTAATATGATAAAGATGTAAAGGTACAACTGCATACTGGGTCCACTGTAATAAAACCAGCCAGGAGCAGCAGGGGAGAGGGGTAATAATCTGATAATAAAAAACTCCAAAATTTCCAAGTTTAAAATGGTCAATTTAAGGGGACAAATCTACAAGTTAAAAACTTTAATATTCTAGTAGTGGCCTATAGTCATTAGTTTATGAGAGAAACTCATCACGTCAGTTGGCAAGGCTGCAACATCACACACACCTCTGCCATGTATTACGCCTGCAGTGGAAAATTGTATTATTGCCTACTTCTAAATTGGATTTAGCAATGAGGAAATACTCTTGATTTTTGGCCTACAATCATCATATGATCAAATGCATCAGGACTTTAGAGACTTTGCTTTGAGTTAGTGACTTTTTGTGACTTTAATCTCAGGGAATTTCTGAGTTTTGTTCTTCTAAATTTAATCTTTCATCTTTTCTCAGATTTTTAACCTCCAACCGTCTTTGGAGACGTAAAATAGTCAATCTAAATATGTGAAAACATTTAAGATAATTCAATTAACGTTAGCCTATCCACATGAGCAACATCTCAAAAACTGGCCCATTAGTTAATTAAGATAATCCCTAAATCTTAAAAAGGGTGCAGGGCTCGCTGTATAAATGTAATATTGTGTTGAGAATAACTTCAGTTCAGCTGCATCCCCAGTGGAACAAGTGAGGATGAAAACTAAAAATATTTTACTAAGGTAGGCCTATTTATTAACAATACTCACCGAGTACAGATGTGTAGTCCACGTATAAGGGAAACTTTGAGCTTACCACGAAGATAACCTGCTTGGAGCAGTGAAGAGCGTTAATTGCCTTTCGTAGTACGGGTCAAGCAGGAAGTTATGCCTGACGTCACAAAGTTAATCCTGAAGTTACCTGGTTAAGCCAGTTACTGCGCTTCATGGTAGGCAGCTGGGGAAGCCCAGAAGCGAGAGAAAAGTCTCAGCAAACCCGTCTCATAAGAGGAAGAAGAACGATAAACAAACAAGCACGACAGGAACAACCAACCCTGACGTTTACATGGTCATACAGTCAGAACTGTGTGGACTTTGTCCTATGATGGCATCATGATAACTGATGAACACAGATAATTACTATAAATCAGTCGTCCCCTCAGTGCCTCGGCCGCAACGTAAAATAAAAAGTCCCAAACCCACAAATGTGTGCATCACTTACCAGGTGACGTCAAATAAATCTGTGAGGGTTCAGGGTTTAGGGGGGACACTGACATTGGGCCCTACACTCTCCTTGGGCCCTCCTGATGTCCTTGAACTGCATCACAGCGCTGTGGACATTCTCATACATACATATTTGCTGGAAATACTTTAATCCTACAGGTCCCCTGAATTGTGTACGTGCTTGGAAGTCCTCACAACCAGTGGTGGAAATGGAAAAACCAATATTTAATCAATACACATGTTCAACAAACAGAAACATGTAAACCATATATTGTAAATATAGGGAGAGAATATAGTGACTTTGCTGTTGTAAACTTTACTGTTATATTTATAATATTCACTTCTAATCCTGTTCTGAATTTATTAGTCAAAAAATGTATATATATATTTCACTTTTAGTAATGTAGTTGAGTAATAGTAAAACTGAACCGATAAGTGTAGTATCCATAACATCCTAACGATACCTATCCCTAAACAGTTTAACACTGCAGTTCGTCAAAAAGCACACATTTCACACACATGGCGTCTCTGACATATCTAGTCTAGTTAATGTAACGTTAATCTGGATTATTTGCTGGAAAGGAGAGGAAACAATGCAGAGGACAGCAGAGCAGGTCAGAAGGAGAACATGCATTTGGAAGCTCAACAAGCAGCGTAATCAAGTGCATCATGAAGAAAATAATCAGCAGATCTCTGCTATCTCTGTCATTTTAAATAACTTTAGTATTTAAGGCCTGTGACCTACCTAAAAGTGTATTTGCTGGGAATGCAGGCAGTCTTAGTAGTATCTGCTGGAGACGCTGGCTGGTTGCACTTATTGATACTCCTAGCCTCAGTGGAATTGTTAAAAACGCTCGCCTCAACTTCCCACAAGCTCTGCATAATTACTGGAAACACTTGAAATTCCCAGTTCCCTTGGACTACCTTTCAGGAGAGCTCCACTCCAGATCCCTAATGGATCTGTTTATTTGCTGCTCTTAATGCTTGCCAATAAACTCTGGAGGTTTAGGGTGATTTAGCACATTAACCACATACTGTGATTTGCTGAAGATAATTTTCTGAAACATGCTGTTGGTTTTTACCTTCCTCCCTTTCAGGCAGCAGGTTGGTTCTTCCTGCAGAAACTACCTGCATACAGTTTTGCAGTGCTCACATGGCGCCGGATGAGGAAGCTCTTCAAGTGGCTGCTCAAAAAAACTCCCTGAAAACTCTTCCTGGTGGTGCGTTCAAGGACGCTTTGACGTCTAAGCTCTCTGAGTCAGCCTAACGGCAATGCTTTTGATAAAACAAATAAAATAAAATGATCTGTTTCACAGTGTTAACTTTGTGCTCTGGGTTTGGATGACAACTTGAACAGTGGCCCAAATCAACAGAAACCTGATGCTTTTGCTAGTCTTTGCTTCTCAAACAAACAGTTTGGTAATACTGTTTTTATTCAGTTCTATCAACCACTGTTGATCTAACAGACTTCCCAAATCAAGACTGTTTCAGAAGCTGTGAAATAATCCAGAATCTGTAACGATATTATATATAACAGTCAGAGCTTCAGATTGTCCTCTTTACAAAGAAGAACTCGAGCTGTGTAGTTTGTTTCAGAATATTTACTCAGAAAAAGGTAAAGGACAAACAGCAAATCACTCCAAACATGAAAAAAACGTCCGATCAGGCTTGAACTGTCCTTTAATCCTTGCTGGTATCAGACCACGATGGCTGTGTTCCAATATGAATGTGGCGGCTCCTTCACCACGTGCCTTCACCCTTCCTGTCCTCGTGTTTGTAGGCGAGGGAGGTTTGCGGGTTTGTTTGATGATGCTTCTAGGCTGTGGTTTGCTGGCTAATCTACTGCACAAACACGAGCATTCAGCCACTCAAACACAAAGCTACACATCGATTAGATAACAGGAAGCTACGGTGAGTTATTGTCTGACTGGATTAAGTGGCTGGCAGCTACAGAAAATAAGTGATACTGTGACATTAAAGGATCATAGTGTTTGATGTTACTTGTTAAATGAAGGTTTTACTGTTACAGAGACAGAGGTTGGATACAATTTAAAGGACTACACCAACGTTTTGGGAGTTATGACCGTTGCTCACTTTCTCTGATCTGATGAGTGTTTTGGCACTATCTCTGAAGCTGTTTACATCCGGCTTTAAAATGCATTTTGGATTTTAATGGGATAATGTTTAACCACATTAAAGTACAGATGTAAATGTACCCAAGAAGCACTGTGGCCCAATTGTGATCTGATCGGTAAAACCACCTCCGGAGGTGGTCAGGGTGACCACGGTGAAGACAAGTGGAAATGCAAATGTCTAAGGCCCTGTCTACAGGTATTTTAAAAACCATGACTTTTTCTCTGCGGTTTCTGCCGTTCGTCCACACAGAAACGCAGTATCAGGGCACTGAAACCAAACATTTTTTAATACGTGAGGATTTTAAGAAACTCCATGCTCTTGGCAGCGCTTGACAGCATGTTTGGGATTTCATGTACATTTTTTTTAAACAAATAACTCCGGTTATAAAAATACCCGTGTCCGTGTGGACTAGGCCTAACAGCATACAACAACTACACGAGCCAAAATACGTACGTATATCTAAAGTCTTATAAATGAACAGTCAAATCCTGAAAAATCCTGTACTTTAGTAAAAGTACAGAAATATTTGCAAAATATTTGCTCGGGAGTACAATTTCTGAGGAACGGGAGCACACAGTCAGTCATTCAGCAAATTGGAACAGCCGGACGCGTTAGCCAACAGCCAACATTTGGAGTTTAAACAACTATATTCCCACATAAAAACTCTTAAAACTGCATTCCATGACACATGAACAGCAGCATTATAACTTACAGTTGTGATTTTGCATTCTGGGATACTTGACTATGCGAAGTCCACACAAGTCACCACCAACGCAGGATCGGTAAAGCGGGCGGAGCGAGAACACATCCAGGTATTTGACTGTACTTGGCTGGAAGCAGACTTCTGAATTGGAACAGTACTTGCTGCGACTATGGTGTATAATCCATGGAGGAAAACAAATCACGGTGGGAAGCAGAGTTATTTTAGTTATAGAGCAAACGAGAGGAGGACGTGACGTGCGGTTGTTTGAGCTGGACCGGGATCGGAACTCGATCGGATCTTAATGTGGACACTGAAGATGCATATTAAAACCAGGTGTAAACGTAATCAGGTAAAAATCAAATCCAGGTACAATGTGGATACGAGACGCATTTTAATGCCGGTGTAAACAGACTGTGATTCTGATGAGTGCTAACACTTTTAGCCACTTCGAGTAGCTCACTCTGCATTAGTCTTGTAAGAACTTAAAGTTTACTGACTTTTTTGGTCACTTGGGGGCAACAGAACAAGCTGAAAACATGGCATATAAAATCATTAAACTCTTAAATGTAAAATAGTTTTTTTGACAAGTTGCCAAAATGTCTTGGCCAAGCAGCAGCCTGAACCCCTGGTCACACCAGAAAGTGGCTGGGAAACTCTGCACGCCTTGGAGAAATATGTGGTTCCACAGGGCTGGTGATGTAGTGACTACTGCAGGTAGATGCTGTCAGTCACAATAGCTTCCTGAGCTAGCTAGTTAGCTCCTTGGCTAGATCGCACTAGAGACGATGGGTTCACATAGATGGATTCATCCTATCGACTCCTGTTTCAAAGCTGTCAAAGGCCACACCATGACAGCGTCCTCCATTTTTGACTCTCCAGCTCTTTGGTCAGAACTGTGGAGGCTGTTTGCTATATATTAGTATGTTTCTTAACTATTATCCAAGGATGGTTAAAATCAAGGGCAACTGGACTGGACGTTGAAGATACAAGAAGATGTTTCGTTCCTCATCCAAGAGATTCCTTCAGTCCTGACTGACTAGTAGGGAAAGTCAGCTATTTAACCTCTGTGCGGTTGTTTGCCAAGAGCATCGATACGATACTGCTGATTCATTAGTGCTCCTGGCTGCTGTTAGAGTCACCTGAGTCCAAGTCTGAATGACGATCGTTGGTATCCTCACCTTGTTTGGTTTCCTGGGGAGTGATGAAAGGGTAGCATTGAATTGTCCACTTCTGGCCTCAGGTGAAGATGCCAAGATGCTTCTAGTATCTTCAACTAAGTGAAGCTGCCCTCGATTTTAACCTTCCTTAGATAACTATGAGCTGGATGCTTGAGAACCTTCACAGACATCTTAACTATTAGCAATTTTGGTGCCATTACTCTCATTACATAATTAATAAGGTGACCTATTGGCAAAATTACTAAATGTTCACACAGTCCATCAACTCTACAATGGTCTCCTTCCAGAATATTAACCTGTAGAACCGTATTGCAAGTCTCTTAAAAGATGAACTGGTTATTGTCAAGACAAACTGCAGTTTAAGTCACAACTATCTACTAAAAAATCTACAGCAAATTACTCATTTGAGCTTGTACAAAGACTGCATTTCTTTTCCATGGTATTCAGGTTAAAACTCTGGAGTGACGCCGCTGCTCAGTGGGTACTGACTGTTCTGAGAATGTGCTGTGATAAATGTGCAGCTTGACAGAAACAAAACATTTCATGCAGAGTTAAGACATGAGTCCATTGCTAGCAGGAGATGAGGAGTTGTCAGGGAGGAGAGTGTTCGGGTTCACGGTTGGCCGTTGAGTTCCTGCCGACGTTTCAGAGCCTTGCTGACTCGGTTCTCCTACAGTCGGCTCCTCTAGAAGGTCAGCACTGAAACGGGGAGGACAGTTACTCACAACAGCAAGTTGGCAGGATCTGTTTGGTTCCAGCTTCATCTGGAGGGAGTCGCATGCAGGGCGGCACAGAAACAGAGAGGAGGAGGAAGACATGCAGACCTGCATGCGTGGAGGCGAGCAGAGGGAGCTGACATCACTTACAGTCGACCTCCAGGATGGCTCTGACAGTCCTAGTGAGCTCCTTCGCCTCCTGAACGAGCGTGGCTGAAGTCCAGGGACTCTTCTTGTAGCGAGAAGGGAGGCCTTGAGGCGACGCGCCAACTTTAACGTCTCCGGAGCTGTAAAAAGACAGAAGGACGAGTCAGCCGTGAGAAACGACGACCACCACAAACAGGAGGTTCCCGGGAGAGTCCAGGGACCCACATGATCACAGGCCTTCGTGGATGCGGCCTAGAGGGGTTCACAATTACTCATTTTTACCAGTCACAAGTTTTTGCCAAATAAAAAGTCCCTCCGGGAATTATTAACACAAATTTAACAAATCCCCGTAAATACAGAGCAACTTGCAAAAACAATCAATGCAACTTTTCTACAAATGTGACCCATCATCTCCGTTTCCTGCAAAACGTGTCACATTTACCTACAGCAATAAACAGCAAAGGGCCGTGAAGACCAGTATCCAGATCTTCTTCACCAAAGGGTGGGAACTGTTCTGAAGAACGTGCAGTATCGCGGTCGAACATAAAGGAAATCGTCTACTGACAAACACTTTGCTGCCCCAAAGCATACAGAGAGAATGGCAGAAACACATGGAGGACGTCAGACGAGACACTGAGACACAGGCTGCGGCATCCTGGTCAGCTGTAAGGGTTAGGGTCAGGGTCAGGCCCGCCAAGTCCTGGAGGGGGTGTTTAATGATTCAACTACAATTCTAAAAACATCACGTCTACATTTGCAGTTTGCACTTATTTCCACAATTTCATCACAAAAAGACGCCGCAAAACAGCACAACATTGCAATTTTTTGAAAAGCTGCCGCATAGTCACAAACAATGCTGTGAGATCCTGGAGGGACTGCTTTAGTTTTTTGTGAGGGACTGTCCTGACTTTCTTTCATCTTTATTTCTGAACACATGAAGCCAAATCTTTGCATCTTCAAATAACGGCTGGTGTGTGCCGAGTTGATGAAACAGAGATTAGCAATGCTGTTGAGGAGAGCCTCTCCTGCTGGCTCAGTGGTTTGGAGGAGCGAGCAAACGATCTCTGCACCAACAGCTTTTAATAACACTCATGAGGCCGCTTGTTAATGTGGGTTACTGCCTGATGAATTAGCTCACACCTCCAGTTCTTTGAATGATCGAGAGAGCTAATAACACTTTGTAAAGCTGCTGAAGTGTCCACGTCACCATGGTTGCAGCTGTTATTCACTCTGACAGCGCTCACTTCACCCCATCAGCCAACACCGAGGTCATCCCAAACACAGACAGCATGAACGCAGCTTTCTGTTTTATTATTTGTTTCTGGAAGCTTCCGGTCTCACAGCTCCTAAACATATTACCAACACAGTGAAATGTGCTGCTCCTTGTCTCCTGAGGGATAGTTTCTTTATTACAGCGCTGAAGTCAGGAAGACTAATGGCTTTAATGAGAGTGATACTTAGAGGGATCAAAAAAGTCATTAACTGGGAATGAATGAGCAGCAAAGAGACATTTATTATAACAAAGTGGAACGCCTCATGCATGCTTCCCTCAATGAACGCCTGGACAGCCAGCCTACATTTCCTCTTACGAGTGGCCTAGAAACAGATGAACAGACAGGTGAATAAAAAGAAAAAACGACGGGGGGTCTTGCGGTTATGAAAGACGAGTCCAGGTGTCCCACTGACCTGGTGTGAAATAAAAAGGAAAGCAGGCAGCAGGTGCTGGGTGACTTCGCAACATGACCGCTTGACCTGGTTTACAGAACCTGACTTACACAACTGGCAGGAAGGCACCAATAACTCGATAGATAAGGAGAGGAGGCCACATCGCAGGCAGACCCTGTTTTTATACGGCGGAAAGTAAAAATCCTACTTTAAAAATGTAACAGAAGAAGAAGTAAACGATTGTTACTGCTAACGTGTTCTTAGGTACACAAAGACTAAAGCACAGATGGATCTTTGTCAAGAAAAATCCTTGTATCCGCAGGTTTCTCATCAAAACAGAAAGGAATGAAGGAAGGACAGAAAGGGGAAGCATAGACTGAATCAAAGACAGAAGGTAGGAAGAATAAGGGAGGAAACATAGAAAGACAGGAAGTCGGGAAGAAAGCATAGATAGAAAGGAAGGAAGGAAGCATAGAAACACAGAGAGGAAGCATAGAAAGGGCCTTCCAGAAACCGCTCCCTCCCCATCCCTACCTACTCCCACTCCGTTTGAGAATTCATGCGGAGGGTCCGCCACATTAAGCGCCATCCGAAACCAACGATAGCGGAGTGGTAGTGGGTTTTTAAACCCTCCAATGCCGCGTCAGCACCATTGTTGTCTACGCGGTTTAGATTTGGCTCTGAGGGTGACTCCGACCAGAGCTCACTCCGTGTCAGAGTGGAAGTGGCGAGGGACACAGAGGAAGTGCGGAAGGAGGCAAAGAAAGAAAGCGGGACCACTGAATGAGATCTCTCATTACACGATTCAGACGATCGGTCACACACTTTCACATAAAGCAGCACAAACAAACACAGAATTACAGTCTCTCTCCAACTACCTGTAGCTCTTCGTTGGTCCGTGACTTTCGAGCAGGAACTCTTGAACGTTCTGCAGACACACAAACAAAATATGTTCCACTTCTGTGTTGTTCTTTGTTGCAGCGATGATTATTACATGAACTATAATCCTGCTGGAAGTGAAGTATCTCTTCAGCTGAAGGTCAGACATTCTTTGAAGTTCACGTCTGCTGTATCTTTATTCTTTTTGTAATGCAGATATGAATCAAGAACACACATTTTAGTTTACGCCATCCTCACTGTGCCGGCAAAAAATATTTGTCTAAGTAAAAATCACAAGTTTGGTTTAATTCAAATCTCATGTTTGGACCCAAACCAGCAACCAGTCAGTCCATCTCTCAGTCACTTCCTGTCTGTGGCTCTCAGCCCCGAGCCCATTGGTTCCTCCTGAAGATGTAAATCTTTACAAACACCTCACATTCGTTTAGTTTTATATTTAAAAAGGCTCAGTAATTTCCTCATTAGCAGTGAGTCTCACGGATGGGTTTTAATAGTTTCTGTGGCTCAGAGGACGAGGAGACATCGGGCTGGGAGACACTCAGGACTCCTTAAAACTCTGGTTTGACTCTTTACCTCCACAAAACTCAGCAGTTTTCCCGTTGACATCTCAAAGCCCCTTTTGGCCACTTCGCTCTTCCGTAGTTGACACTCCAGGACGGCCACTCTCTTCTTCAGCTCCTCCGTCTCCTCCTGGGATGAAGACAGAACAACAAGGGACACATTTTGTTCAGTGTTTCTTCCCTCTCTGGTTAAAGTTGTCCTTTGTGTTTTACAGTTACAATAGCGTGGACAGGAAACCAAAAACAGCTAAAAAGAAGGCACTACAGCTGATTTCTGCTCCTGTCCTGTCCAGCTCCTGACAACAGAGTCAGAAAATGTTTATTCATGTTTGAACTGAATATTTGTAGAGAAAAACAGACGTTTGATTTCTGTCTCACTCGTTGACTTTTTTCCTGTCTCGCCCAGTCTTGTGATGACTTTTGAAAGACTCCCATCCCACAGCAATCCTGTGATTGGTCAAAAAATATCAGCCTCTAAAAACACACCTGTGCTCCCAACATTTTAATCTAACAATACAATTTAAGAATTGACTGATAAATACAACTGAACGACCAAACATTCCTCGTGACAGGGAAAAAAGGACAAACAAGATGTAACATATTTCTACTTCTCTGTAATTTTAGATTGCCCTGCCTTTATAGACGTGTGGCTCTGCAGGAACTTAAAGAGTAAACGTAATACGCATTGAGGCGTGTTTGCTGTGGCTCAGGATGCAGGAGGTGGAGTCTAAGGTTGGTGGTTTGATCCTTGGTCAGGCCAGCACCTTGCACTGTAGCTCGCCATACATGCAGTCCATCTTCCACCTCAGAGACAAGCTCCTAGAATTACCTGCGAGCTCAGGATTAAACCCAAGTTCCAGGTATTTGGATAAATGGAGCAGGACAGCCACAACTTTAAAAAAGAAGAAGTGAGGTTTACGTTAGGCGACAGATTCTTTGTCTCGTTGCTGTAAAATAAATATTTCAGTAAACTGAAAACTGGAAGACTGGATTCTGGAGTAGTCGGCTATTTATGTTCCAGGCTGACTGAGATGATTTTGACCTTGGTAAGATGTGAAGTTTAATATGAAATTTTTGAATGAAATTGATTAAAGCAGTTTGACATTTCAGGAAATACGCTTCTCTGAACTAGGGGTGGGAGAAATAATCGATTCTCAGATACATCACGATGCGGACGTGGAAGATTATGAATCGATTAACAAATGTCTAAAAATCGATTATTAAAAGTTAATTGATAACATAATGTTGATAGAACGCAAAAGGAGGTTCGTGGAAGTGTCAAGCTAACATCTGCCCTGTACAAGGGCTCTCTGTCCCCCACACCAGACTCCAGAGCCTTCAGCGTCGCAGCCCCCATCCTCTGGATCTTATCCCCACAGAGTCTGGACACTTTCAAAGATCTACTAAAAACCCAGCTCTTTACCAAGGCTTAAAATCCTGAATGACTTTATATTGTTCTGTTACTGTAACTATGTGTAAACTGGTATACAGCTCTGTCCTGTACACATACTGTAGACTATATCCTGATAATTAACTTTATATGACCGTTTTCAGAGGAGTCTGGTTGTTAATGAAATGACGGACCATGATGAGGTTAATGAAGTAAATGTGGGAGAAATTAAGTCCTTTTAAGCTAATAAGGAGATGTTTCTTTTGGATTTTAATGTGCAAATTAAAAGCTTAGTAATTATCCAGGGATCCTGTATAGAAAAAGTTATGCATCAATAATCGCAGCCCTCTGAATTGTAATCGAATCGAATCGTGAGGTGCCCAGAGATTCCCACCCCTACGGTTTCTTTAAAGGATACATAAGGATTGTTTCCAGTCTTTATGCTAAGCTAAGCTAACCAGCTTCTGGCTGAAGCTTCATGTTTACTGTCCACACAGGAGTGGCATCAATCTGACTCTCAGCATTTGAAAAGGGACTATTTCATTGATCAGGTTAATCATTCATCTGAAAATGTTGGTTTCAGAGTCTCAGATTTATTTATAATTTTTTTATTTACCCTTTATTTCAACAGGAAAGTCCCATTAACAACACAAGCTCTTTTACTTTGGGCTCTTTTTGTTTCTAGACTAAACAATTGATTCAGAAAATAATTGGCAGCTTAACTGATGATGAAAATAATGTGAAAAAAGTAACCAGCAGCCTCAGCCGTCACGTACTGGAAACGCTGAGGAGCAGAAATAAAATATTTGCTGGAGGAAATTACTTCTGTTAAATGATGTCTTGTGAGTGTGGACACAATAGATTGACTCTCAGAGGATTTCTCCGTGAGTCAGCATTTCAACGTGTGATAATATTCTCAACGCAGCAGAGAGGGGCTTCTTCCTCTCTGCTGCTGTGTTAAAGCTGACACCGTGCAGCGTCGGCTCAGCTCGTCCGCTCGCCGTCAGTAGCCCGCCGGTGCCGAGCTGCAGGCTGCTGTCAGACTTTTGTAAAAATAACCTGACCCAGATTCACGGATGATGATGGAGGAAGAAACCAAAACCTGGAGGGGAAGGATGAGGGTGCAGGGGCAGCACAGCCAGTGAGGGATTCTGGGAAATCATCAGGGAGATCACTGGGAAGGACACTGCAAAAACCTCATCCTGCAAACAAACCAGATATCTGTTAGCATCAGACCAAACACAGAGCGTTGGCGTAGTGAGGGTCTGTTGCAGAAGCTCGGTCAAAACATGCAGGGCCATCTGACAGAAAGATGTCAGACATGTTTTCATCCATCCATTGGATGAAAACAAACTCAAATGCCATCTTAGATGAGAAGCATCAGTGGAGTCTGGTCTGTTGACTATATTTAGATAAAGGCAGTTCCATCCATCCATCGTCAACCGCTTATCCTGTGTACAGGGTCGCGGGGGGCTGGAACCAGTCCCAGCTGGCATCGGGTGAAAGGCGGGGTAGAAGACCCCGGACAGGTCGCCAGTCCATCACAGGGCCACACATCACACTCACACCTCCGGACAATTTAGGGTCACCAATCAACCTGGGCCGCATGTCTTTGGACGGTGGGAGGAAGCCTGAGCACCCGGAGAGAACCCACGCAGACTCGGGGAGAACATGCAAACTCCACACAGAAAGTCTAAACAGAGCTTATTTTTCTGCTGACAACATCCTGCAAATTGTCAAACTTAAGCTACTTCTGCAGAAATGTAGGCCTCATGATCTCTGACGAACTGAAGACACCAGCCAGTCATGTTGGTCACCTTATTGGTCGGCACTGGCTGCTCCGCTCTCTGAGTCTTCAGCTCAGCGATCTCGGCCTCCAGCAGGTGGATCACCTCCTCGTAGTCCATCTCCATGCCCCTCGCCTGCTTCTGAGCCGCCTCGGCCAGCTGGATCCGAGCCCTTAAAGCCCGACTCTCCTCTGCTCCGACTTTTACTTCCTACCAAAGAGTAAAGAGGAAGGGGAGAGGATGAAGGAGGGAAGTGAGGGAGAAAAGAGGAGCGTTTCTTCATCACAGCTCAACAAGTGAACAGATTACTCAGCAGAGGATCAGCCTGCGTGGTGCGTTCAGAACCCGCTCAAGCTTCTTAACCTCATAAATCTTTGAAGGTGCTGAAGTCATGATTTTGACTTCTCTGTGTCAGGGTGAATAAGTGTGATGAAGCTCTTTGCTTTCACTGGATCAGCAGGCTGGACAGTCAGGACCCAGCAGGACTCGCCCGGACCTGCCACCGCTCAGCATGTTTCTATCCTTGATAAGGTCGCCAACGTTCGAAAAGCAGCACCACTAATCTAAAACAGGGACGACCGATGTTTTTAATTCCTGCTGATCCTACTGAGAATTCACTAAATTATGGAACATATTTTAAAAGATAAAAGTGTTAACGTAGTGGTTTTTTTATTCTCACTAGGTTTATTTCTTTCCTAAAATGTATTTTAAGTCTAGTTGGGTGTTATCCATGCATGCAGGGACACAAAGGAGCACTAATACAAGGAATGTACACTTAATAATTAAATACCTGCATACCCTTTATCACAAACACAGACAAGATGTGCCAGCAGCTGTCCCAAGTCTACACAATATACAAAAGTCAAGTGTTTTTGCACATGTAGGGCTCCCTGGTCAAGTTAGCAATAATAACTATGCACCGTCCTGTTACTAATTTCAAAATAAAACTAGTAGTTAATGTTGTGAGACATTGCAATTTGGTTAGATTTTTGCACCAAAACTACTAGGTTTGGTTTAAGATCGTGGTTTGGCTTAAAGAGGTGGTATTCTGTTTTTTGCCCTTTTCCCTCTTCTTTATTGAGTTATAATCTTTTTTGTGCTGTAACAGGTTTGCAAAGTGAAAAAGCCCAAAGTCCAGCCCAAAGGGAGTTCCCATCTCCTACAGAAAACTCTGTGACGTCACAGGGATGAAAGCTAAACGCGCCTCATATAACGCTCGCCAAGTGGCTACTCCGACACGCCCTCAGAAACAGCGAGCTGCAGCACACAGCTCTCCTCTCCCTTCCAAACACTAGCTACCCTCCAGGCAGTCAGTGGACATAAAGTTGTTCCTGTGATGTAGAGACAGAGCTCAGTTAAAACTTTATGGATACAGATTAATAACTCGCCGCTCTGAAACTCTCGCTCCAGTCCGTGTTGCCGACCGGCTTCTCGCCGACCCGCCCTTCTCTGCTTCTGATTGGCTAGTAGTCCTTAACTAGGAACTGAGCATGTGCAACTCCCAACAAAGATCATTTAGAGACAAGATGTATCACTCCATAGCTAAAACGAAGCCTTCAACACAGGCTGAAAAGAGGAGCTGCAGCAATGTGCAGTATGACAAAAAAATAACCATGTAAACCTGCTCTGGTACAAACTCTAAATAAGATGAGGAACCTGAAAATGAGCAGAATACCAACTCTTTATAATAACAAAATTTTTACTTGGCCTTTTCTCACATAAGTTAAGTAATGTTACTTCCGTAACTAAGTAACTTCAATAAACAAAAGCCAATGTTGACTTCTGTTTCACATGGGAAACGAAAGTTTCTGGCACCAACCATCCACACCATCCACCTCCTTACTCCTGACCTTTCTGTTCAATATTCTACACCAACCTTTGGCGTTCAAAAATGACGCTGCGGGGCTTTACCCAGTGCGTTGACGACTTGAGAGTGAGATTCAGTTGGCAGTAATGCTAGCAAGCAGCTCTGTGAGGCTGGACACAGCAGTGCTTTGAGCCAAAGGCTAACGTCAGCATGCTGATGTTCAGCACGTATAATGTTCACCAACTTAGTTTAGCATGCTAACACGGCGTACAGCTGAGGCTGATGGGAATGTCATTTGCTCGGCAGGTATTTGGTCATAAACCAAAGTGTTTGACACATTAATAATTGTTGAAATCAACCAAACTGGCCGTAATCAAAAAGATCTACGCATCCAGTGTGGCTAAAACACACTATGCCCCCCCAGTCTGTCAGAGCACTGAGCCGTGCACTAACTGCAGGGGCTGTCTATTTTTTTTATCACTTGAATGCATTATTTCAGTCAGGGTCCTCACAAGTGCAGAAAATTCTTGTGTGTGTGTAACAGAGCGTGAGGGACCCGGCCAAAGAGGTCAGACCTGAGAGACGACCTCTTACATAACACCCCCGGGATCACTGGGCGCTCTAAACCCTCATCCTGATGCAGACCTGACCTGAACAGCTGGCTGGGGATCCTGCAGCCTCCAGGGGGCCCGGCACAAACTCACAACGTCAGCGCTCTCTTTCTGAGTCCAAGGTGACGTCTTCAGATCACTTGTTTTAGTCCGATCAATAGTTAAAACCCCCATAATACAGATTACACTGATGCAAAACAGAGCAACTAATCCTCACATTACAGAAGCCAGAGGCAGAGAATGTTTTTCTGCTCCATGAATGACTCGTGGTAAACGATTAAACGATTATAAGAATTAATTTCCTGTTAATAATTAATCATTTTATTTGTTTAGTGGTTTATCAACACGGACAGTTCCAGGGTTGTAATGTTATTTGGGATGTCATCTGGTCTAATTCCCACTCAAAGCTTTTTGATTCTACCTGAGTGGCCCGTTTGAAAGATCCGTTTATCGCTGCGACAACAGTCTTTTTTTTTTTTTGTGCCTCTGTAATTTTATTTCAATACCACTTGACATTTTGAACTCCAAAGAGTAGGCACTATTTAACATCTGTAATCCACAGAACAAGCTATTCTTCATTTGAACTGTTGCCATCTGGGCGATGATACTGCCTCCCTCTATTTACTAAACATCAATCAAAATTTTCATTTGTGCCTCAAGCAATTCAGTTTTTAAACAGGTAAGACATATATAGCCAAATAGGCAGGATGCCCAATCTAATCCGTAGCAAGGTGCGGGGTGTCTGTATCTGTATCTGTCTGTTGGTTATCACAATGCAATGCCTATGTGATTGTGTTGCAAACTAATTTTCCTACGGGAACCAGCAGGTAGTCATAATATTATAGCTGATTGGTGTATATTAAAATGATAATATCTATTATTTTGTCCAACCTGTTCTCATCGCAACTTGTCACATATGGATGTTTGGTCAAGACCCCTTGGCATCCCTTTTAAACGCCCTGGGTAACCTTTAGCGTGTTTTTGTATGTGTAGGGCTCTGCAATCAAGTTAGCAAGAACATATAGACTTTCAAAATAAAACTATTGGTTATGTTGTAAAACGTCGCAGGTTTGTTTGGTTTAGGCACCAAAACTGCTTGTTTATGTTCAAGTAAAGATGGAAGCTTTGGGTTAAAATAGCTACATGACTTAACTAAAAAGAATCAACGTTGACTTTTTGTTTTACAAAAGGAAACGAACACTGTTCTCCTGGATGAAAATCCGGTTTCTGATCCACCCTTCCATCCACCTCCTTACTCTTTTCTGTTTAACAATGATGTTAAAGGTCTTCACAGCAGGCCACAAGCTGATGCTGAAGGTCTTGACCAAGTGTCCATGTGTGACGTCTTGTGAGTGAAAACCGGTTGTTATTTTTTATTCTCTGGGTGTTTGAATTACTATAAACTCCAGTTAACTGTGTAGAAGGTGGTGTTGGAAACCAGCAGTTTATCTCCAGTCAGTCTGTGAGGCCTTCAGAGTGGAAGTTACATAATTCTCAGGGCGGTGAAACCGACACCCGCAACAATACGATACTGCAACCCCACTTGACTGGGAAACAACCACTCCCAGTACTGTTGGCACACTGGCAACCAGTAACTCTAACCTCCCAGCCCTGAAATAAACACTGCCCACAGACGGTAAAGTGATCCTCAGAGGTAATAAAGGATAACGAGGCTGGACAAAAGGAGTGAGTTATGAACACAGGAGGCACCGCTGAAGGAGAACGACTCGGCACAGAGATGGAAACACTGCGGTGAAAGTATTAATACCATTATTTAACAATTTACTGTGCAAGTACAACTGCTGTCCACATACTTTTGTATATTCGTTTCACTCTGACCTGGTTCAGGCCTCTTAATTCAAATATGTGGAACTTTTAATGCAGTTTAAAACTCCAAAATCTATTAAGCGTGCTCAGTTTGAGGTTCAAATTTCGTTCTTGATGTTGGAAGCAGCAGCTGACAAAACAATCTCAGCACCAGACCCATTCGGTAGCTGTTCTAGAGCTTTCCATAATATCCCATCCTCAGCAGATGGAGTCATGAAACTGTAGATTATTGAGACATTTTCTCCTTTTTGACAAGATGTTATAGATGTTTTAAAAGTTTTCTTATTGTTAGTAGATAACAAATGATTCATTGTTTTATTTAGAAACATTTCTTTTAATATTGACACATCCCTTTATCTTGTTATAGTACTAAATGTTATAGTTCTGGTACAAAAACCAACTTTTCTCATTATAACATGATGTGTCCAAGTGTAACAACAAGCTGCACACAACTCTATTAAAAAAATGGATTAATTAAATAATAATATTTGTACTTTTAACACACACACACACACACACACACACACACACACACACAGTCTTTTTCTTGGAACAGTAATTTGCAGTTTTTTTTAATTGCATGCTGCCTTTGTGGGAAAAATGAAAGTAACAGATGGACTGTTCTCACTCCCTCTGTTTATGTGTGTAATGTCCTGTTAGCTCTCGCTACATATGACAGCACCACAGGAGAGGCGAGGCCGCCAAAATCACTCCTGTCTGTTTCCCTTTGTGCTTCATACGTGTGAGTGTGTGTTGCATGTTTTTATATCCCTGTGGGGACTTGAACTGAATACACACTAACTGATGGGGAAATTTGAGCTCGGGCAGAGATGCTGTTTGAGGGCCAAGACTTGGTTTTAATGTTTAGGTTAGGATCAGTTTAGGGTTTATAAAGTTAGGCGTGTCGTTGTGATGGTTAAGGTTAGGATAAGGGGATAGGGAATACATTATGTCATTCTGATGTC